AAGGAAGGGGCAGTGTTACGACATCGAGGTCACGTGACTAGTATCACGCCACGTCCTTCTCTCGAACCTTCGTGAATTATCGGGAGATTACTAGATTGGGGGGTAGACTCATATATATAAGAAGGTCACAACGTGACGAGTGAATGAGTAATTGAACTGCAGTCAGAGAGGTAATGAGTAATTGAATGTATGCGGACAAAATATTGTTGGCCACATGAGACATAGCGTTGTTATAGAGCGACTGTTGAAATTAAGTGTATCGTAAAGTTATATTCAGAAAGAATAAACCAGTTTTATTTAAGAAAGGACTTGTGTCGCTAAAGTTTCGTCGGAACGAATTTACGGTAAATTAACTAACGAACAGAGACGTAACAGTATTTTAAGGATAATGCTAACAACCTGGTTTTGATGTCTGTGCCCACCAAAACTATCAAAAATCCGTTTGTTTGCGTTATAAGTCTTTAGAGTTACCTCTCAGCCGCTAGGGGGCTGCTCTTCTCACCAACCATAAGCAATGTGGGTTATCTGCTGTGTCCATCAAGGAGACTCGAAACCCTGATTTTAGTGTTATAAGTCAGAAGACTTATCGCTGTCCCACTGGAGGACATGGTTTTAGTATCCATCAACTTTATAAAAACGGGGTATAGAAATACTAATTATCTTATTCTCCCAAGGTATGTATTTCTTAGAAAAATTTATGAACTTTGTAGATGAGTTCTAATTTTTGAATACACTAACCCCTGTTGAGATCTTGTGCAAAATTCGGTCTGAGGGATTACAGTTTTGTAGCTTGACAAAACTGTATAGTTGCGTTACAATTCACAAGAAAGGCAGTCCGTCTCTGATCCGAGAGAACCAGAACCTGCTTGTAAAAGCCTAGACATTTTTGTGTCTGCTGCCTAAGCAAATTTCATATCTATTTTAAGGTATGTCAGTTTTATATTAACTTTATTTTGTTTTTTCAACCTGGAGCATGGAATAAACAACACTTCGTGGTTTAAGACAAAATTGTTTATTTACTTCTTCGCTTGTTCTCACAATGACATTCCATCCAGCCAAATCTTCGAATCTCTCGTTATACGACGGTATTTTATCTATGTGTTGTTCGTCTAAACAAGGAATACAATAAAAAAAACATACTAGAAAGCACTGTTTACGGTAAGACAGGGCCCGGCATGGCCAGGTGGTTAAGGCACTCGACTCGCAATCTGAGGGTCGCGGGTTCGAATCCCTCTCACACCAAACATGCTCGCCCTTTCAGCCGTGGGGGCGTTATAATGTGACGGTCAATCCCACTATTCGTTGGTAAAAGAGTAGCCCAAGAGTTGGCGGTGGGTGGTGATGACTAGCTGCCTACCCTCTAGTCTTACACTGCTAAATTAGGGACGGCTAGCGCAGATAGCCCTTGTGTAGCTTTGCGCGAAATTCACAAACAAACGGTAGGACAGTTTAGTCCTACAGAAGATGAACATGTTTTGGCTATAATAAGGTTCTAAACAAATAATAAATATAGTTCTTATTTTATTACAAGTTACACCTTTTCAGGTATGACGTTTTGACCACTGGTGCGATAATTCTCAATTACACATGTTTTAACGGTAAAGAATGTTTCAGTATTTGACTCAACATTCAACAATCTAACTTAATACTGTTACGTCTCCGTTTGTCAATTAACTTTCCGTAACTTCGTTCCGACGAAATTTTAGCGACACAAGTCCTTACTTAATAAAACTGGTTTATTCTTTCTAAATATAACTTCACGATACACTTATTTCAATATTCGCGCTAAAACAAACACTATAACGAACGAACGTTAACTTCAACAATACGTCTCTCTCTGACTGCAGTTCAATTACTCATTACCTACACACACATTATTGTCCCGTCACGTTGTCACCCTCTTTTATATACCAGACTACCCTATATCTAGTAAATACTAGAGCATTCGCCAAGGTAGAGGATAGTTCTAGAAAATAGGTGGCGCCACACCAGTCACGTGACCTCGATGACGCAACAATACTTATAATCAGTAAGTAAACTCAAAGCGAATCTATAGTTCTTGTTAGTATTCTTGTATTAAACTACATAAACTAGTTGAGACATGTTCAAAAATTAGCTTTTAATAGCAGCGAAGTGAAGATTTCAATAACATTAGCGTGTCATGACGTAGGCCCATTTTTCTGAAGTATTTACAATTTTTTTACACTGTCCATCTTGGTCACATAAGAAACCAATGCATTCTGGGCGGCAAAAAGCAATTATGTTCAAAGTTTGCTGTAGTATATTCAAGATTTTGTATTTTAATACCTTAGCTTTTTTCAGATATTACAAAGTCATTGAAAATACACGCTTGTAGCTTAAATTGATCACGTTTTGTAAAACAAATTTAGGGATACTATTATAAAAAAATTTCGAGCCACAATGGACGAATTAAAAGGAATGTGGTAAAAGAAAACCTACAGTTAATTGTTTTTAAGCCTATTGGTTTTTCAATAATTCGTCGGCTTTCGACATTGAAATCACAACTTTTAAAGTACTATTGCGTCAGCGAGGTCACGTGACTAGTGTCACGCCACCTGCTTTCTAGAAATATCCTGTTCCTTCGTGAATGCCCTAGCATTTACTAGATTGAGGGTAGTCTGGTATATATAAGATGATGACAACGTGACGGAACAATGTGTGTAGGTAATGAGTAATTGAACTGCAGTCAGAGAGAGACGTATTGTTGAAGTCGAGCTCGTGAGAAGTGAATT